GACTTCTTTTCTTGCAAAACATTTTTTATATTTAGGTCTGAGTCACAAACGTTTGCCTGTTGTTGGGAGAATTTGGACGTAGCGCCAAACCAGGGGTAGCCAATGTTGTGCCCTCCAAACGTTGTTGGACACCATTACAAATCAGCCCCAGCCAGCATATTTTGGCCAATAGCCTAGGATGATGCCAGTTCCATTCCAGCAACATTTGGAGGGCCACAGGCTCCCCATCTTTCCCCTCCCAGTCATGTATAAAATGGGGTGATGGAAAGGGAGCGTGGGTGAAGGGAGCTGAATCCTAAACAGTTTAGGACCACAGCAAAGGGAAGGACCTTCCCCTCTTCTTCTGTATGAACTCCCCCTTTTTGGATTGCTTCTCAGGGGCACCCCATCTTTGGAGCTTTATATGGAAGAAGGTGTGCTCCTTTCTGTTGACATGTCCCTAAATTGTTTAGGGTTTAGCTCCCCTCTGCCATGTAACCCTTCTGCCTCTCCACTTTATACATCATTGCAGAAAAGGTGGGCTTAAATCAAGGGACGAGGAACTTCTGTTACTCCAGAGGTTGTTGGATTACAACTCACAATTATCCATAGCCAATGGCCAATGGATACTGGCTTGGTCATCCACCCTTCCCTTCTCCTCTTCTGTGGCAGCTGTGAGTTCAGAAGCTTTTGCTTTCAGTTTTGTTTAACCACAGCTTGTTGTGCTGCCTGAACCAACCAACTGTGGGTGGCGTTAAGAATCACTTGTTTGAAATAAGTTGATTTTCTGATACAAAGCATCATTGGCTTTGAAATTGACTTTAAGGTTTGGATGACATGCTGAAACTGGAATTAATGAAAAGAGAGAAGCAAACATTTCTGAGCTCCCCCGAGCTATGTTGGAGAGGAGGAGGAGAAGAAAGCGCACATGAACCCATGAGTCATTGTCACGCTGAACCATGGTTTCTGCCCCTTTCACAACAATCAGGAAGTGTTCAATGACTACTGAACATATTCAGTCAACACTGAGCCGATTTATATGTCCATAAAGGTAAAGGTAAAGGTACCCCTGCCCATACAGGCCAGTCTTGACAGACTCTAGGGTTGTGCGCCCATCTCACTTAAGAGGCCGGGGGCCAGCGCTGTCCACAGACACTTCCGGGTCACATGGCCAGTGTGACAAGCTGCATCTGGCGAGCCAGAGCCGCACACGGAAATGCCGTTTACCTTCCCGCTAGTAAGCGGTCCCTATTTATCTACTTGCACCCGGGGGTGCTTTCGAACTGCTAGGTTGGCAGGCGCTGGGACCGAACAACGGGAGCGCACCCAGCCGCGGGGATTCGAACCTCCGACCTTTCGATCGGCAAGTCCTAGGCGCTGAGGCTTTAACCCACAGCGCCACCCGCGTCCCATACACACCCCTTATAGGTGCCTCCTCACCAAAGATGTCCGCAAGCCTTGGAGTTCTACTGACTCTTCAGATGCCTTTCTCTTGTTTTGGCTACGATACCAACAACACAAAGAAACACACACCAACCATAGAAAATAGAGGCAAATGTTTTTGCATTGTCCATCCAGAAAACTGTAGAACTACATTTATATATTTGTTTGAGTTTATATGTTTGTTTACATGTTTATATCACAATAACAGGTGAAGTGTGGATGACAGGCATGTGTCCTTAGGTGGGAAGCCATTATTAGTGAAGGCTGGTCAATTTGGGTGAACAGGGCACAGCTCCACTGGCCTCATTCTGCCCTCAGCTAGCTCCCACCTGCCTACCTTCTTAACTGCAACCAGTCTAGGGTGCAGGGCAGCTTCTTCCTCCTCCTTGGTCTTGTTGTTGTATTTGGAGGAGAGGATGGGGACAAAGCTAAAATTAGTTGGCTCTGCCTGTCATTGGCTGTGGCTGCACCTACTGTTGCCTTGAGCCTCAGCAGTCCCAATGGAATGGTCCCTACTGCTCACAACCCATGCTTATGGGTGCATGAAAGTACCTACCCCGTTTTTACTCCTCCAACAAACCTCTGAACTGTTCTTATACATCTTGCCCAATTTGGCCGGGGTTAGATACCATCTCTTAACAGACCAACTTCCACTGAGTGGTAGAGAATGTGACACTGAGTTCATCCTAAGGATGGGGCAGAATTGAGCTTGGGGAGGGGATACTTTGGTTATTGCACCTTAATTGTTCACTTTGGTTTAATACCCCACTCATAGGAGCCAACTTCTAGGGACCGAGGGGTTTATGCCCCCCAATAAAATAATTGAGGGGGCAGCCCCCCTGAGTTTATGGACATTGCCATTCAAATGGTTTGTGTGCACCTCATCATGTGATTGATTATACAGGACAGGGCTTACCTGCGCCCCCATTATTTTATTCTAGATAGCACCCCTGATCCCACTCCTATGGGTCTTAGTAGACCACAACCTTAACATGAGTCAACAGCTTGCAAAGAAAAAGAAAAAAAGAAAAGAAAAAAGAAAAGAAAAAAAAAGAAAAGCTAATGCTATTCTAGGCTGCATAAACAGAAGTATAATGTCCCAATCAAGGGAAGTTATAAAAGTAAAGGTAAAGGTAAAGGGGCTTCTGTAAACAGTGTGCAAAAGAGATTAAAAGCATCTCCGCACTGTACTTTGGTTGTGCGTGCCTATTCCTAGCAGGGTACAGGTATGCACAGCCAAACTGAGAAGGACTGAATCACCAGCTGGTAGGAGAGGGTAGTTTTCTTTTTAATGGCCTCTCAGGACAAATTCAGCCCCCTGGCGAACCATGACTGGCTTGTGGGCCATAGATTCCTTACCCCTGCCCTATGGTGCAAAGTGACACAATGTTGAACCACATGGACCTTTTTAGTCCACGATTGAGCCTGGCCTGGTGATTCTTCTTCCATCCTTTATCCTGGTGTGTTCAAACACTCCGCAGATGTTGTGTAACTTTGGCTGAAACAGAGCCAATGTTTCCTCCTCTTCTTCTTTGTTTTTACTGACTAGCTCTTGAGAAGCTTGGGGTCTTTCTTTTCTTTTCTGACAGCCTGTGTGCCTTTTGATCAGCCTCCTTCAAGTGGCAAAGTTTTATTTTCCTCACCTGTGACTCCAGAGATCTTGGCAGCTGCTCATTTTGTTCCTTCGCTCATTGTCAAGTCTTTTCAAGATGACTTGGATTTCTGTCGAGAGTTTTCTTTTCATTGCTCAACTGCTTCTGCTGGGCCTTAACTTCAAACCCAGTGTGGCTTCTCTGAAGACTTACATTTCCTCCTCCCTCTCTGCTCATTTTAAAATGATCTCATATGCTTTCAGCACCGAAAGGGGTCTTCCCAGGTTCACAGCTTGGAGTATGTGAGACTTTTGTTCACTGACAAAATTGCCAGAAAAAATATTATCGGTAACCAAGCAGCCTAAGTATTGAATACACTCAGAAATTTAAGAGACGCATGAGAGTCTCCAGGCTCCCCTTTACCTCAAGGCCAATGCGATGCTCACCAGATATTGTTGAACTAAAAGTCCCATCAGCCTCAGCTAGCATGGTCAATAAAGGTAAAGGGACCCCTGACCGTTAAGTCCAGTCACGGACGACTCTGGGGTTGCGGCGCTCATCTCGCTTTACTGGCCCAGGGAGCTGGTGTTTGTCTGCAGACAGCTTCCGGGTCATGTGGCCAGCATGACTAAGCTGCTTCTGGTGAACCAGAACAGTGCACGGAAACACTGTTTACCTTCCCGCCAGTGTGGTACCTATTTATCTACTTGCTCTTTGACGTGCTTTCAAACTGTTAGGTTGGCAGGAGCTGGGACCGAGCAATGGGAGCTCACCCCGTTGCGGGGATTCGAACCGCCAACCTTCTGATCAGCAAGCCCTAGGCTCAGTGGTTTAGACTACAGCGCCACCCGCGTCTCTATGGTCAATAGTCATGGATAATGGGAGCTGTAGTCCAAGAATATCTGGAGAGTTCCAGGTTGGGGAAGTATGATGTAGCAGATGATGTGAAGGATTTCTGAGTTAGCAAGCATTGGGCCAGGGCCTCAGAACTAGGGATGGAGAAGAAATTCAACTGAGTTTACATTTAAAGGCAAACCTTATCCAATGTGTACTTTCTGGATCAAAACACAAACCAAAACATAGCCATCAAAATTTTGCACTTTTCTTAATTTTGCAAGGGAGCTTTCCAGTCAAGTAATGCATATGCTAGATTATCCTGTGAACCTCCCTGAGACCTGTGGGTATAGGGTGGTATAATAATAATAATATTAATTATAAGGCATATTAAATGCATATATTTGTAAAAATAGCTGTCAGCATGTAATATCAAAACGTAATTAAAGTGCAATAAAACATCAAAACAGAAATACTGAAATGTTGCCTGTGAACTGTTTACAATGCTTCAGATAGTGACTGAAGAGTCACTGACAGTGGAGGCAATATGGGCAAGATGAAGAAAATGCCTTCTAACAAGGCAGTTTCATGTGTTCCTTTCATGAGATTGTTAGAGGTCATCGATTCAATACTTACAAGCTCAAGGAGTGGTCCCCCCCCCACTTTCTTTAAGTAGCAAACTCTTCCCATGAAATATTGCTTGGCAAAAATAGTCTAATTCTTGGAACTCACATGGTTGTTTTGTTATCAGTGCTGTATCAGGAACAGATCAGGTTTTGAGTTTTAAGCAGATATTTCCAATGTTTTATTGAAACATTCCAGGTGGGGTGGTGGGGCGCAGGCATTTAACTGACCTCCCAGCATGCAAGTTACTGCTGCTTAGTGCAAGGAAGGACAGCACAGTTCAAATGAACCAGCGGCTGGACCTGATTGCTCCGCTGATGCTTTCGCACCACACCAGCCTCCCTGCTGCCTCACCCCTCCCAGTAAGCTGCAACGACTCACCTGTTGGGAGGTCAATTAAGTAATTAAGTGCCTCTACCCCACCATGCCATCCATGACTGATGTTTTGAAAGGGATGTTTCCCACACTCCTCACAAATAATCTTGCCTATTTCTGTCTCCCTGAATCAAATCTTTATTTTTCCTCCAGGTTAACATCGGCATTCTCATTGCAGTCACCAGAGTCATCTCAAGAATAAGTGCAGAAAACTATAAGGTGCACGGGGATGCTAATGCATTCAAGTAAGCCTCTTTTATTTATAGAGCCTTATAACTCTTAAGTGGGTCTGAACTTGGAGTGTGGTACCTAAGATCTAAAAGGGTCAGGAGTAAGGTTCTAGACTTCATGGATGCACCAAACAGAAAATCCAAAGAATAGTCTCTCTAGATAAAATTCTGTGGCAATTCTTCACTCAAAAGGGTGATGCACACATTGCATGAAGATTTTCAAAAGTGTTGTTAAGTATGCATCTAATCTCATATGAACGCTCTGTGCAGCTGTACACTATTGGGGTACCCTGCCAAAGATGAAACAGTCAGTTTCTGAGCATTGCAGAGCTCTTTTTGGTTCAAGGTACATCCAGCAACGAAGTCCAGCAGTGCAAATTTCATGTAGCATCAGCAACCGAGTGAAAGAAAGTCAACACTATCCTGATAAAAGATGTGCTGCTGGAGCATATGCTTTAAATCATACTTTCAGAAGAGCAATTTGTTGATTTAGATTACTTGCTCCTTTTTCAAGCAAGCAAGCAACTTTTGTGAGGTTGGCGGAAAGATCTGGGCTAATGAAAGTTTGCTTAGTTATTGTATGCCTTTTCCAGAATCGAAGGGGAAACCAGCAAATATGTCTCTGTTAAGATCTATGTTCTAATTATTCTGTAATGAGTTTGAGGTATTGGAAAGGAAAATGATGGCTGATGCTTTATTTTGAAAAGCTGCAAACTGCATAGTCCTTTGAGAAATGAATGGTGATCAATGGCAACTCAGATTCCCCTCCACCCCACTTGAGCTGTGACAAAATTGTAGGTTTCAATTTGTTATGGGCGGCGTAGGTGTTTTCCTACGTGGATTGTCTTTTATTGACTTGTGCTCAGGCTGAGATTTAGATTAGGACAGGACTGGAACTGGTAGACCTGGTTCTAGAACTGACTGTGAGGTCAGACTGAGGTTGATGACACTGCCCCCCCCCTTCACCCTAATGGACTAGCCTCCCCTGAAAGACTTACCTAAAATTTATGAAAATTTCTGATTTTGGGGGCGGGAGGCGGGGAGCAACTCTCTAACAATGAGGAGCAGCAGAAAAAACTGGGGAGAAACTCTTTGCTAGTAAGGACTCTTCCTGATAGCTGCTGCTTGTTGGCTACCTTTTCTACCAAGCCCTCAACCACAGTGATCATATCACATCATCACATATTTCTGTTCCAGGGACTTGGGGATGGGGAGTGATGGTTCATTGGTTGGCAGAATTTGTCTGGCAGTGAGTTGCAGCCCCACTATCCTCAAAAAGGAAATATCTCCAGAAATACGTTCCACCACCCACACACGTGACCACAAAGTTTGGGGAGGAGGCATATCAGCTTGGTGCTACGCATTCCCATAATTGGAGTATGCACACACAGACACAGAGGGGCTTCCTTCTGAGTAAACATTACAAATAACACTGTAAGTTACAAAGTTCTGTTTTCTATCAACCCATGGTCACCAAGGGATACGTGGAAACAATTCCTTCCTTCTCTTTCATATGGCCATAAATATGAGCGACCCTGGAAGAAATTATGGGATGCTGCAAAGAGGTTTCATGTATAGGTGCCCTCCATTTTTCTTAGAAACAAAGAACCTGTCAGACCTCCATCCAGATGGTTCAGTTCACTTGCCATTAGCCATGGCAGAAACTTGCAAGATTTATCAGGACTATTTATAGAGGAGTCCTAGGTTGATTGAACCTGCATGGCAGACTTTTTTGTGAGATGCAGAAAGAGGAGATCAGCACCTTGTGTCTCCCTGCTGAAAATATGTAGCACTACAGAGTCAGGAATAGGTGTTTATCTTCCATAGAACCAGAGTTTTGAAGACCAGAAAGGGACACAGAGCTCATCTAGTCCAATTTCTTAAAATGATATAGGAGTTAACATAAGGGCGCCACTCATTCTCTGAGTCTTCTGTTAGTGAAATGCAAACACATTTCTTAAGAATGTAAGAATAAACAGCTGGTTCAGGCCAAAGGCCCACCTAGTCTAGCATCCTGTTCTCACAGTGGTGAACCAGATGCCTATGGGAAGCCTGCAAACAAGACCTGAGTGCAACAACACTCTCCCTACTTGTGATTCCCAAAAACGGGCATTCAGAAGCAAATTGCTTCCAACAGTAGACGCAGTAACTATGGATCCTGACTAGTAGCTATGGATAGTCTTACACTTCATTGATTTGTCTAATCTTCTGTTAAAGCCACCCATGTTGGTGGCCATACCTGAAGAGATAACAACAACAACAACAACAACAACAAAAATTTTTATATACCACCCATCTGGCTGGGTTTCCCCAGCCACTCTGGGCAGCTCCCAACATCATATTAAAAACACAATAAAACATCAAATATTAAAAACTTCCCTAAACAGGGCTGCCTTCAGATGTCTTCTAAATGTCAGATAGTTGTTTATTTCCTTGACATCTGATGGGAGGGCGTTCCACAGGGAGGGCGCCACTACCGAGAAGGCCCTCTGCCTGGTTCCCTGTAATCTCAATTCTCACAGTGAGGGAACTGCCAGAAGGCCCTCAGAGCTGGACCTCAGTGTCTGGGCTGAACGATGGGGGTGGAGACGCTCCTTCAGGTATACTGGGCCGAGGCCATTTGTGGCTTTAAAGGTCAGCACCAACACTTTGAATTGTGGTCAGAAACGTGTGGTAGATAAATAAATACTACATCGGTACAGTAAAAACTGAATAGTATTTATTTATCTGTTCAGATTTGACTCAACTGAACAGTCCGGTCCTCCAAACTTGCTATGGAATGAGAATATTTCTACATGATTAGTGTTGGCAAATAGCCCCCCATTCCCCCCCCCCAAAAAAACCAAGCACCAGCAGGGAGTGTCCCAGGGCTCTGGAAAACATACATGATGAAGTTAAGCCTTTTTGTTCACTTTCTGCCAATAAATAAATATCAGAACCATGTCAGGGTTAAAGTAACCTACAGTTTTTGTACAATAAGGAACACAGCTCATGACTCCAGCTGGCAAGAACAAATATTGGTGGGCGTCCGTTGATTTGCCCAGATGCCTTGAGGGACCCCAGGAGTGAGGTTTGTTGGCAGCAGAAGTGTGTATTTGCTGGAGGGGTCTTGTTTCTCTTGGCAGCTGGCAATAACAAATAGATGCAATTGTTACCAGTAATTGTTACAGATTTTTCCATACGGTGCTGGCAAGCCGAGCCCAGCGTGTTCATTCGATTAGCAGTGCAGGACAACATAAGCCTGGCCTTATATAGATGTTTACAGAAATGGACGTTTTCATCAGCTGTGACCAATTTAGCAAACTTTAATATCCTCACAGACCCAAATTTCAGATTTCTGCCTTCCAAATTCAGGAAGATCTCTCTCTCTCTCTCTCTCCTATCTATCTATCTATCTATCTATCTATCTATCTATCTATCTATCATCTATATTATCTATCTATCATCTATATCATCTATCTATCATCTATCTATATCTATCATCTATCTATCATCTATCTATCTATCTATCATCTATCTATCTATCTATCTATCTATCTATCATCTATCTATCTATCTATCATCTATCTATCTATATCTATCTATCATCTATCTATCTATCTATCATCTATCTATCTATCTATCTATCTATCTATCTATCATCTATCATCTATCTATATCTATCTATCTATCTATCTATCTATCTATCTATCTATCATCATCTATCTATCTCATCTATCTTATCTATCTATCATCTATCTATCTATCTATATCTATCTATCTATCTATCTATCTATCTATCTATCTATCATCTATCATCTATCTATCATCTATCTATCTATCATCTATCTATCATCTATCCATCAACTATTTATCTATCTATCTCTATGACAGCTGGCAGCAGAAAGATAAGTTGCCTTTCCCGCTGTGACAGCACTGCTATAGAATGCCCTCTGTTTCTCATTTCCCCCCAGTCTTAAGTGTAGTTCTCCATATTTCCACATCAGTTGTGGATTTTGAAAGAAGAGTCCCCATGAAAATTCATCACCTTTTCAATGCAAATGTATCCCAAGGTGTATATTTTTGCACATCAATTTCCCTAATAAAACACATTTTTATATATTAGTTTCACCAATATTTGCATTTTTTATGCATACTTTAATATATGCATCTTTTTATACATAACTAGGCTGGAAATCTGCACAGCAAAATTTGGAGAAGTGGAAATTCTGAAATATGTTTGTGTTTTGCTTCAGAAAGTGCAGTTCAGAAAGGCAAACTGAGTTGGATTTTTCCTTTATTCATGCATATCATGTAGCAGCAGTGATGATGATCTGGATCTTGCTAGTCAGGAACAGTTTGCAAATTTTGTGTGGGTGAGCCAGGTCTTGGCCCAGGCTCAGCGCACCCAACTTTGCATCCCATTTGTCCTTGCAGGCAGAGTCTCATTAACTGGCTCTCGATAAACTGCCAAGCCCAGATCTTATTGGATGTTTTCTCATCGCCCTGTTCGAAATGGTCCAATGGGCTGGAAAAATCGGTATCATTTATATAGCAAGCACAAGGCTCCCGAAATGAGAGTGGTTGTGCCCAGCCATGGAGAAAGCAATTAGAACATTTCTTGAGCTTCCTTCTCTCTCTCTCTCTCTCTCTCTCTCTCTCTCTCTCATTCTCTATTCTCATTTTTTTAATGTTGCCCATTGGTTTGACGACTCTCAGTGTTTTACTTAGTAAAGTGTTGATTCACACAACACTCCTCAAGGGAAAGAATCATGTTTGTTTTGTTGAGTTATAAGAATGCTTCAGCCAATAGGCTTCTGAAAATGAACACAAGGGTAGGAGAGGATTCATCTATCCTCATCTGAGCATGGAAGCTTCCTCTGTGTCTCAGGTGGGGACTTCAAGTCTGGAGGTCAAATGTAGTTCTTGAGGCCTCCTCTTAAGCCATGTCCTCTTCCCAGGTTGTATTCATCACCGGCTCTGCTCTGCACCAATCATAACCCCTGAATCTATCAGTAATCTAGACACCAAGCTGG